CTACAGGCGCCCGCCACAATGCCTGGCCATTTTTTGGTTGCAGCCATCATTGTTGTTTGGCGGGCCCAGGCTGGGGATTCGAACTCGCCACCTTAGGTGTATGTGGCTGGCGCTTTAGCCGCTTGAGTCACAGGTGCCGAGCCCTGACTTTTTTTTATTAGCCAAGTTTTGGGGGGGTTTTGTATATTTTAAGTCAAAGTAGTAAGTGTGTCCTTTACCCAGAAAGTGTGTGATGTACTCGTTAGATGTGAATTTACCCATTTCCTGTGCTCCCCCCACCCCCAGCTCTAATATTTTGTGGTCTTCTCTCAGCATGTATTCATTGGGTCACTCCACTTATGGAGCCTTGGTTCTGTTCCCTGTTCACATCTAATTTACTAGCCAAAGGGACCTAAGATAGTCATGTCATTGTCTGACTGAGTACCTGCAATGAAGAGATGCTGTGGGAACCCATAGGAGATAGATAATATTGTTCTTGCTTCCTACTAGGAAGCTAAGTGGAATGGAGGTAACAGGTAACCCAATAATTTCTGAAAGCTATTTTAAAAACCCACTTAGACATATTTCTTATAACACTGATGTCAGATCATAGTGATTTATTTTATATTCTTTCGGAATTATAGGGAAAGGATGTCATATACTTCAAGAACTGCACTTTATTCTACAGAAAGCCCAATTATGCAGCAGAGCTAGGTGTTTTATATCAATGTATAGTTGTTAACAGGTCCATATGGACTTCTGAGAGGTTACCATTAGAGTAACCAAGCAGGTGGGGTTGACCAAAGCTGACTTCTATAAGAAATGAGCACTGTGCTGAGGAATAACATGGCATAAATAGAAAAGGAAAGTGAAATGAAAATTTGAGGTTTTAATTGGGAGAAAACACATCAGGCAGGTTTGTAAATAGGGGTAAACACATGGGGTCCACACACGGAGCTTGCTGCTTAGAAACAGGCCAGGGTGGTGAGCCTTCCCGAAGTCCTCTTTATTCTTCATTACTACCTCTATAATCACTACCTGACCAACTTAAAGCTTTCTCCAGCACTTTATTTCACAGACCTGCTGGGAGCCCTAAGGCCTTTGAGTCTTTATAGGAACTCAAGTCTGTTAATTATTTACAACAGTGGCCTTGGTCCCCAAGCATGCTTTGCAGTGTTTTTATGTTCAGAGAGAGACTGTAACTGGTGCGTGAGAAGCTAGAAATTCTGTTGCTATGGCAGTGCTTCAAAATGTATTTCCTGAAGTGCTTTCTTTGTAATTGTATCTTCATTTAGTTTACCTCCCAGATAATGGAGTTCAGAATCCCATGTCTAATACAATTCTCTTCTTTAGGGTGCTTTCACTATCTTCCGTCTAAAAACAGACTAGACTTTTTTTTTTTTTTTTTTTTTTTGAGACAGAGTCT